ATATGGAAAAGTTCAAGGGGTATGAATACTTTTGCAAACCACTGTATATAAAAATATCTTTGCAGTAACAGAACAGAATAAAATAATGTTTTCTACACTCCTAGACACTATAACTGCACAAAAAATAGTTTATAAAKGCAAAAAAAGTGCATTTAGCATGATATGTCTCCTTTAAGGGACATGGAATCGAAAAGAAAAACAAACAAAAAAAAAACTATCTCGTTTCCACCAGTTACTAAATTGTGTGCACCACTTAGTATCTTGTGCGCACGATTTAGTAACTGGTGCGCACGGAATACCTCACAGGATCTTCCAGCTCATTTTGGACAAGCTTTGTGTGTCCTGAAATGGAAATGCGTGACATAATTGAGCTTTATTTCCAGCTTGGTCTGAAATACAAAGCTGCGTTTCTCTTTCCTTTACAACAGAAGAGGGTCAGGGGCAGAGTGGACTCACCCCTGTTGCAGGGCCCCTTTGTAATATGAAAATAAAAAAAATCCAGATCATATTGGTTAAAGTTTTAAAACATGTTTCAGCCAGAGGTTGCTCTAGACTTTTTGTCTGTCATTTTGACTGACAATGTCATGATCAAATTTTTACCCGTCAAATTCTTTTTTAAATGATAATGACTAAACATTCACATGTGGCTATTGTCATGTTGGTTTTGCAGTTCTGCCTCAGATGCATCAGTGCACCTCACACTACAGGACACCTGAGCGCATGGTGCTGAAAAACAGCGCATCTGTCCCATACTAGGCCCAATGCGCACAATGTGACGCACACACACTCCTGCTTTTGACTCAGTTAGACCTACCTTACAAAAATTAAAATAAAAAGACAAAGCTATTAGCTCTAGCTATTTAGCGGCTGCAGTTTGCAACATTATGCCTCCTTATTTTTGTCTCTAGCTCCTTTGCAGAAAGACGAGAGAAGAGGGAAAAACATGAAGGCAGAGATGCAGTCAGCTGTTAATCACAATGCGCCGCTGCCACAGTGTTAAAATGTTGTTAAATATAAACATAAACAGAACGTGGATTTGATCTATGCAATAAAAAGTCTAATAATAAAAAAAATTCGAAGGAAAATCTCAAGTTACCAACAGTGAGTTTACATCTGCAGCGCCAGTGGTTCTGAACCGCGCTCTGCTGCGACACTATTGGAATAACAAGCGCCACTTCAGCCAAAGTTTTAAAATCAGAAAACATTTCTCCAGTCAAAGTGAGAAGTCAGCAAGATTTTATTTCCAAATCCCACAAGCTGTAGCAAGAGGAAATCCAACATCGCACTCGCGCTGCGCCACTGTTCAGCTGCGCCTCACAGACGCGCTCCAAAGCATCACTGCGCCTAAATTCATTTTATCAGGTAAATTGATAAGTGCCTTCCAACCTAAGCGGTAGACCTCCTAAATGTTTAATCTGGATTTTATTTATTTTCAGCTGGATAGCTTTAGCAAAATTACCCCAATGTCAGGGAAACCATAAACGACTGAGAACCATGGGTGGAAAGGCTCTGAGACTGTCACCAAGCTGCACCGATCGGAGAGCAAGCAACGCAGCTTTGTATTTCAGGCCAAACTGGAAATAAAGCTCAGTTATGTCCAGTGTTGGGAATGTTACTTTTAAAAAGTAATTAGTTATAGTTACTAGTTACTTCTCCCAAAAAGTAACTGAGTTAGTAACTGAATTCCTCCCCTATCAAAGTAATTAGTTAMCAGGGAAAGTAACTATTGTTTGTTTGGATTTATGTTTAGATATGTCTACGAATTTAAAGTAGAATTGCAAAGACAGGTACTTAACACAAAACTTKTAATACTTACTGCACCTCAACAGAACATAACTGGTTGACATACTGTACTTCAAGTATTTTCTTCATTACAAAGTTTAACAAAATAATATAACAATTGTATTTTTAGCTTTATGTACACACTGTACTGTTCAAGTATTTTCTTAAAAATAAAAGAAAACAGTTAAAAATAAGTGCTTTAACTCTGTAGTGTAAAATCAAATCAAACCCTCACACAACTGGTTCTTCAAGTATTTTCTTAAAAACAAAAGAACCATTTTAACWATATGAAGTACTTTTAAAACAGTACTGAAAATCTGAATTATCTGAACAAATCCAACATTAGCTACTAAACTATCCACGCATAGATGGATTCATTTATCCACTCAGTCAACCCAGTCATCTGCTGACCATCTTACCCCTTAAAACCAGTGATTGTATCTTAGAAGTAGAAGCCTTTCAAACTTCTGGTCAGAAAGTCTGTTCCTCTTTGGAGTGAAGACAAGCTTCCCTAAGYTAAACAGTCTTTCCACAGGGGCACTAGATGGAGTGGCTGCATTGTATTTGAGTGAAAYTTTCTTTACAAGTGGAAATCCATTAAGACTRTCCATCCCTTGTGCTCCTGATTTGAAATAATCAGCAACTTGGCTTTCAGCAGTAGCAGAGGTGTCWTCCTCATCCTCAAAGGAGAAGAACTCATCCTCCATGGCGGACTCAGTGCATGCTGGTGTGATGGCAGTACCTGTTTGCTGGTCTTCATTTTGAGCACTTTTCCGGCACTCTGCTAGCAGACTTGCCTTGGCCTTGTCCTTCCTGTCCTGTGTCCGCAGCCAACGTAGTTTAAACCTGGGCAGAGTCACAGCAGCTAAGACGGCATTCTCACTTTCCAGCACCTCTGCAAATCTTGTTTTGATTGCCTGCAATGATATACAAAGTAAATATTATACTGACTATCCACACACACACACACACACACACACACACACACACACACACACACACTGTATCTTTTCATTATGTATGAATGTATTAAATGTATTTAAAAATAAATATTAGTTCTTACTGTAACAATTGCCTCTGGAAGGTCAACGAGTATTTGCAGACCACTCTTCAGGTCCAGGGTCTTCAACATCAATGTCTCCAGTGTGGGTAGGAGTGTGCCGTGGAAACAGTTGTCTTCTCCCTGAAGTATGTCTAAGGCTACTGTTCAGTGTTGCCAGGTGTACGATAATTATCGTA